TGCAACGGGGTGTGTGCAAATATGTGTGGTCAATGTATTCCTGGCGTTAATGTTTTCGTGTCGTCGGTTTTGTGTTTAACTTGTTGTGTGTGTAAGTATCGCTGTGCCAACACCAAGACAGTAAGGTTGTTCCTTGGCACCGAATAAAATTGATTCTTGATAATTAATAATATCATTATTATTATTATTATTATCATCATCATCATTTAATACAGATATTGCTTCTAAAAGAAGTGACGATCACATTGATACTATTTCCAGACAACTTATTCCGCTCGGCGGGCATTCAATTGCAAAAAAAAAATATATATATATAATTTTTAATGGCTGTGTTAATTACACATCTTAGCGGCCACGCGTGCCGCCTTTGTAATTTTGAAGTATGTCCTTATCAAACGCTGTATCAGTTTTTCTTTTTTTTTTTTTTTTTTTTTTTTGTTAGGAATTGCAGAAACATTTTTTGAAGTATTAGTATATGCAGTTGGAAAAGTTCACGCTGGGTATTTGTAGATTCTGCGTGATGTCCAGCAACCATCAGACTTCCTTGTGTAAGAAGTGCGGTTATTCACGCAACATATGTACTGCGTGTGTTAAGACATCCTCTGTAGGTATTGTTTTCGTACAAGCTAAGAAAAAACACCGCTTGAGATGCACACGGCTCAGGGGAGTGTCTACATGCAGACACGTCTGTGCAAAGGCCGCCGCGTAGAAATGTTCATACTTTTTACACGAAATGGGGCTATCCCAAGTTGCAACGCCTTTTAAAAAAAAAATGCAATCGTTGTTTTATTTTTTTACGAACCAGATTTGAAAGGACGCGTTTGTTAAATCCGTAACCGGAGTCATCTTCCCCTCTTTACTCTTCTGCCCCGCAGAGAAGCATCATTGTGCGAAATTGTTGTTTAAAGCTGCGCCACTCTCCACGGGCGTTCAACTTCCTTCTAACAAAAAAGAAAATATACTTACGCTGTTGCGAATATCCCGCAAAATATTTTTATTAAAAATACATTTTGTCTTTATCGCTGGGACTGTCACGATTTCGCGGGAATATATGACTGTAAACAAATTTTGTTTCTGCAAAAACCGCAATTTCATAAGAAGAAGAAAATACAAAACAAAAAACAGCGCATTGATATTGTAGGTAATTATAGTGCAACAAACACTGAATTAGGCCGAAGGAGAGCAGACGCCGCTTAGCGAGAAGAAAATTCACACCACGTGTACTACGTCACGCAAAGTGGGCGCGGCTAGGGAGTGCTCCGGTGGAGAAGCGCTGTTCCAATGTTTCTGCATGCGGGTCTTGCTTCCCCGCACCACACCGTGACTGCCCGCATACATGCATGATGATGATGATGATGATGATGATGCGGCTTTTCCTTTTATTACGGGCGAGCAAGAAGAGTGTGCTCATGTTGTGCAAAGCACCCTCAACAGAACTGAGGAATGTCTGCAAAAACGCCAAGTTAAAAAATAAAAATAAAAATTATTTATTTTTTTGGAATATGTCCTAAACTCACAAATGTGAAGTATATTGTTGAGTGACCCTAGTGCTGCAGCGTGTTATGCGCATCTGGTGTGTTAAAATAGGCGGCCACCTCGATAACTGCGCCAGCGATGGCCACCGGAAAGTGCATGAAAGCAAATTAAGAAATATGCATTTTTACTTAAGCTCGTGAGATCTAGCACGTCAAGGCTTGCTCACAACGCACCACCTTTTTACATTACGAAGCTTACGTACGCTTACGTCGAGATACGATCGCAAGTCACCGGCACATCCGTGCTTCGTACGAAGCACTGCAACCGGATAAAATAGTAGCTTGGCAGGTGGGATACGAAGCACGGATGTGGCGGTGACTTGCTGTCGTACTTCGACGTAGGCGTACATAAGCTTCGTAACGTAAGAAAACGGTGCTCTGTGAATCAGCCTTGACCGAAATCCTCGGTCAAAGGCTTAGTGCATTCACTCGTCTTAAACTATTTTGAACAGAAAAAAAAAACAAAAAAAAAACGCGGTACCAGGAAAAAAAAACAGCTTTCTTAAATCATATTGTCACGGATGAAGGCGAAGAGACGACGAATAATGAACTGAAAATAAAGGTTTAATCGGCGAGGTTGTGCCAGAAACAAAAGGAAGAACAAACGTCGAGAAAGCAGCAGCGGGCGTCGATGGCGGCAGCGGCGAGCGACGGTGCGTCGGTGTGACAGCTAGCTTGCTAGTGAGAGAGTGAATGTGCCTCTGCCTCATTGTCGGGAGAATCTGAGTGACTCGACAAAGCCACGAGCAGATCCTTATCTAGTACACTCGGCTTCTCGAAGATTCGGCCTAGAATATTCGGCAGTGAGCTAGAGCGAGGCTGACTAGGCAAAGGGTATTCTGGCCTCCCTGCCTTTTGCACTCGGAGTGAGGGTATACGCGAATCTCCTAGATGAACGTAAAAGCGTTCCTTCGCGATCATGCACGCGGCAATATAGTATATGAGGACCCTTTCAAGATGCGTGTTTTTATCTAAAAAGTAAAGTTATCTCGAAGGGGACATCAACGTCAGGCACTTCGAAGTGATAGCGTTGTAGGCGATCTAGTGTCGACATTTTCGTTTTTCGCTCCTATACCACGGCGCAACCAACGAAGCCGGTAAGAACGGCACCTGGCGCTTAAGCAGTGTTTCCATTACACAAATCACCGCTCCCGAAACCGAGCCATTGAGAGCGCCGAGGCAGCCTTTTGTAAAGTCGCGCCGACGAGAACGGGCTCCCTCCGGTCCTCCCCCATGCGCCCTACATTGTAACGCGACGTCCTCGCTCCTTGCGCCCCTAAAGACTTCCGTTTGTCCGAACCCCGCTCTCCCGAACCCCTCAAGTGCTTAGGGAATCAGAGCTCCCGTTCCAAAAGTTGACCGTCCCGCGGCATTCCATTCCGTCCAAGCAACTCCTCATGCAAGATTCAGCCCCCCCCCCCCCCCCCCCCCTTTTCACGCGATCAATATTTTTCCTCCAGGGGTGTTAATAGCTCGCAAACGACTTTTCTCGGCCAGTAAAGCCCCACGGCCGGAAGTCGGGGCCCCCCCCAAGTCACCGCCCCGCCACTGGAAGACGCTTCCCAGTCACTCACTCATTTCCGCCGATGCCAGCGCTGCCCGGCGGCGTCCCACTTGACTTTCATGAGGCTACGCTCTGGCATTCCGGGAGACCTTAGCGTCGGACCGCGGCCAAGAAAAGTCCTCGGGTGAAGTTGTGCGCGGGCGGCAGAGGAGATACTCTTCGGGCTTTTGCGCCGCCGTAGCCACACGCACACACGCTATACTCGCTTACTTATTCATTCTCGGCGCCCGTGGGGATTATGCGGGAAAACTGCGTAGTAAAAGAAAGAAAGAAACGGTGTCGCCACCGGTGTTTGAGTCACCGACTCGGGGACATTTCCCTTCGCTTCGGTTGTGGGCGTCTGCGTGCGTTTACGAATCTGCGTTTGGTGCTCTGCAGCTCGATCTTTTCAAGGGGGATTCCTGACCACCTTAGAAAGGGCAAAACGAAATTTTCGTTGCAAAAAACTTCGAGCTTTTTTTATTATTTGTGTAAGAACAGTGTGTGCTTGTATACAATAACCAGGACCATCTCTCCTAAAAGGAGGTAAGGTGGTACGATTGACAAACAATTCCGCGAGGCTTTTTCCGAGGACGTCGGTCTGATAAAGCCTTTGCTGTTGCTCTAAACTTGTTCCTACGGCTCGGAACACGAGGAGCAAAAGCTCCCGCTGCAGAACCTAGAGATCGTGGGTTTAACTAGAGCCACTAAATGAGCTGCGCTTAAAGTATCGGCACTCCGTTCTCCGACATTGTTGTGGGCGCCGCCATTTCGGTGCTTGTGCAAAGCAGACGCAACTGCCGATCGCCATGATTCAAAAGTGTGACTTCCCCATCGTTAGATTCGGTGTTAGGAAGCTCATGCAATATTGCTTTGCTCTGCCGCGAACTGTTTAAACATTGTGGAGGGCGGAAAAACGTTTCCTCTGATTTCAGATAAAGCTTTAGATAACTGGCAACCATGATTTTAAGCCACAATATGGCCAAATGTAGTTACTGTGAAGCGTAGCTTATTTAGTGGCACTAGGTCTAACAATCCCCACCACTGCGAGTTCCGTTCTGCATCAGCATCGCACAGGCGTGTGGTTGTGTATCACTTCCGCGTAAACCGCGTTAAAAAAAAAAGAAACATAGAAAACAAAACCTAGGCTACACTCTAAAAAAAACCCGTGAGTCTGCTTTCCCGCACAACACTCGGAAAGCCAATTGCCGCACCTTACGGAGGTAGCTCAGCGAATGACACTGCCGAAACATGTGTTTAGACCAAGAAACGCAGTCTGAGTTGTAACATTAAGCAATGCAAAACGTCACGCTTGCAATGCTTAATGTCACAACTCAAAACTGCGTTTTTTGGTCTAAACATATGTTTCGGCATTGCCATTTGCTGAGCTGCCTCCGTAAGGTGCGGTGATTGGCTCTCCGGGGGTTGTGCGTGAAAGTAGACGCACAAACTTTTTTTAGAGTGTAGCCGTAGTACTGCACTGGCAAACTTTCTGAGCGAATGTAGTAGACATCCATCGGGGCTGACTAACTACCCGCCGTCTTACACGTAACAAGATTATCATTATTTCTGACGAATGTTTCAGTACATTTATTCATTCAGGTCGAATTTTATTTCCTTTCATTTATTATCCCTTAAAACACCCACTGGGCTTTACTTAAGGGGAGGCAAAAGAAAAAAACAAATTCAAAACACAAGAAATTACAAAAATACAACAAAAAAAGAATAGAACTCAACATGTTGCTGTGTACTTACGGAAGTTCCAGGTCCAGTTCTGAAGTTAGACGCCATACTGTAAGGACCCTCGCCTTATATACTTACATCTACTCAACCTGCATCCTTTTTTTGTTTGTATGAACATTTACAAGTTTGTTTGTGCGATAGCTCTTCTTGTACTCCCCTTCCCGATGTTTCGTCCGCAGCCGAGCATGCGCGTCCAGCCCCTGTCCCGCTTCTGGAGGTTCGTGGAGCGCAACTACGGAGCGCAGTCGCTCCAGACGGCGCTCGAGGGACTCTCCGACGTGCTCGTACGAACGCTCCTGGTCGCCGAAGCCGTGCTCCACTCGGCGCCATCATCACAAGCGATCAGGAAGATGAGGTGCGTTGAAAACCGTCCTGGTGCCAACACCGCCTAGACTCATGGTTGCCTAGAATCAGGGGAGGCGAGGAGGGGCGAAGGAGGAGGGGAGGGTCCTCCGTACCCCCTTCTCCTCCCCCTCCTCCTTCTCCATACCCTCCCATCCTCTTCTGTAGCCTCCCCTCCAAGTGCTGCGTACCCTCCCGTCACGGTATACCGCAAAATCAAAATACCCCAAGAACTGCGCTCTCATTTCGCATTACAGAGATTTGTAAACGTCTTTCAAGATTTTCATATCCGCATTCCACGCTCGTGACGAAACGTTTCACGTGAGCGTTGTAGGTTGATCGAAATTTCTACGCGAGGTTATGTAGCTGTGACGTCATGACCCTATCGACCAATCAGGAGTTTCTCGTCAGAACCCTCCGACGCCAACGCCGGCTTTTCTGGGACAGGAGCTCCCTAACGGCTATCGCGTTAAAAAGCGAGACAGAAGAAACAAGGAAGGGCACGGGCACAGCGCTGGGTTTCAACAGAAAGTTTTGTCTAACTCACTAGAAAAGAAAATAATAAAACACGGAGGGATATTCTGACCGGCGCGTTAGCGCACCTTCTCTATATATGTATCGCTAGGGAGTGACGAAGCGGGCTTGATCGAGGAATGTAGCAGATTTGTATGAAGGTAATTTGGCGCGGTATAAATATGTTTACCGGTTATTTTGTGTCTGCTTTCTTTTCTCCTTCTTCTTGTTTTTTTTTTTTTTCGTTTCTAGCTTGTTACAATACATTTTTAGTTGAAAGTCAGCACTGTGTCTGTGCCTTCCTTGCTTCTTATGTTTTGCCGATCTTTTCTTCGCTGCTTTTTCTCGTAAAACGATTAGTTACTTTATTTCAGTGACGTGCACGCGTCTTCCTCGAATTATCAAAGCCAGCGAACAACCTCCTCTACCTCCGTGTAACGTCATTACAGTCGGATGGCGCCAACCGAGCAATTGGGCACGAGCCCGACGCCGAGCGTCCTTCTCGGCGTTTATTGGACACGAGGCTCAGCCGAGCGCTGACGCACCGCTCGTGTCTAATATGTGTCTACACTCGATCTCGCTGTGATGACGTCAAACTTCCAGTGCGCAGGTTTTATTGTTTATATTATTATTATTCTAGGTGATGTCGCTAGCTGGGGTTGCTTTTAGACGCCACGAGGGAGACTGGTGGTCGAGTGTGTTTTGAAGTCTGTTAGCTCGCCGCACACTCTAAAAAAAGTCTGTGTGTCTACTTTCGCGCACAACACTCGGGGAGCCAATCACCGCAAGTCACGGAGGCAGCTCAGCGAATGACGATGTCGAAACATATGTTTAGACCCAAAAACGCCGTCTGAGTTGTGACAATAAGCAATGCAAGCGTGACATTTTGCATTGCTTAATGTCACAACTTAGACTGCTTTTTGGGTCATATGTTTCGTTATCGCCATTCGCTGAGCTGCCTCCGTAAGTTGCGATGATTGGCTCTCCTAGTGTTGTGCGGGAAAGTAGACGCAAAGACTTTTTTTAGAGTGAAGCTCGGAGGAGTTGGAGCGAAAACTAGAACCCAGAGAATCTGGGCTCCGTCCTCTTTCCTTTCGTTCTCTTAGGGAATGAACATCGTAGCCGCGTGGGATCGCCTAATCAGTTCTGCGTGAACCCTTCGGCTTAAAGGCCGACGACCGTACACGAGATTCTGCAAGGCAGAAGATCCTCCTTACCATGGGGGAGGAGGAAACAGGCAACGGTGGACAGGGCAGGAGGAGGGAGAGGAGAAAGCGAGGGAAAAGTGGAAAGCGCGAGCTGGTCGTCGGTCTCTAAAAAAAAAAAAAATCTAAAGGGTACTTGAAAAAAAAAAGAAACGAGTTAGAGGTGATTTTTCCGTATTTTTGTCCCGTGAATTCAAATATTACGAGCTTTTGACCCGAGCGCATCAATAGGCGCCAGAAGAACCGAAAAACTAACCACTGGCTCTGATGTCATACCCAGGGGTTTTAACTGCCCCGCGCGTAGGCCTTACCCGAGCGCTTTCGACTGTTCGGGTAAGGCTTAGAATTTATTACTGTAAAAGTTTTCTTTTTCAGTCTTTTCTTTTTCCCCCGCTACATCGAACGAAGCCATCATACGGGCCGTGAAACATCTTCACCATCGCCTCCCGATCTCCATAAAACGTGTTATGGCCATTAGCATCGCAGCAAAAAAAAAGCAACAAAACAACTACATAAACTGATCGTCCAAAGGAAATCGTTACTTACTTACCGTCAACTTGGTGCAAACTAAAATAGCCGTAGACTTCCGTTAAACTCGATAAGAACGAAATGAATCAATACCCTCGCATTAACCTGCACGTGTGTATGGGTGTTTTCGTTTCCTTTAATGAGCACTTGATCGATGCTCCTTTCAGAAAGCCAATCTTCAATTTTATCGACTCATCGATTCACTTATATTTGCGTCAGTAATAGTGATTGAGCGTTTATCATTATTTTTATCGTTTCATTATGCATCAATCTCAAGGGGAGATTAGTATACCTTGGCTAACAAAGGTAATTGGTTCTGAAACTCAACAACGAATACTTAATAATAAGATCGATCGAAAAAGATTTTTTTTTAATTCTTAAATAAAGCCCCGGAACAGATCAATAGAACGTGGCAAAACATTTCATCGTGCACTACACCCTCACTCATCACCAGCTGACATGGCGCACTCGCAATCTGGAGGCTATTCAAGTGAATTCTGAAAATGAACGTTGAAGGTCTCAAAGCAGCCCCTCAATGCATATCCTCCTGCTAGTTTAGCAAATATAGGTTGTCACAAAAGAAAATTTACAATTTTTTTTTTTTTTTTACTGCAAAAGTAAACTAGGCGTCGCCGAACGCTCATTCGCCGCCCAAAGGTACCGCTAGAGGTCACAACCATATGCCAAAGTTTCAGCCCGATCCGATACCTTATTCAAAAGTTATAAGTGATTTTCTGAAAATTTCGATGGGAAAATGGCGACCGACAAAGTTTTCAAATACAGGGGGCTTTATGGCACCAGAAACCGAAAACGGGCAAAAATGGGCTCCATTTTCTTATTGAAATTTTCAGAAAATCACTTTTGAATCAGGTATCGGATCGGGCTGAAACTTTGGCATCTGGTTGTGACCTCAAGAGCTACCTTTGGGCGGAGAATGAGCGTTCTGCGACGCCTAATTTATTTTTGCGGTAAAAAAAAAAAAATCTGTAAGTTTTCTTTTGTGACACCCTGTACAACACAAAAGCAAACCTCGTTTTCTTTTTCTTTTTCTTTTTTTTTCTGTTTGTCTACACGTTGCGGAATAAAATACGGAACTTGGAGAGGAAAACAAAAACGTGAAGCGTCACAAAATGTTACCATCCTGATGTAAATGCATGAAATATTATCCCGCGTTTTCTTGTGAAACTTTTCAGTTGCAGTACAAACTCTACTCTGGCGCACGGCAGTTGCAGCTAAGAGTTTTGGAATAGGGTTTTACATTAACCTGATGACTGCATGTCCAACATGGGCTTTGCGTGAGTGAACGAGCGAGTGAATGTTCGAGTTAAAGCGCGCATAACCAGGAAGATTTGCGAGTATTAAGCAGACATACACGTCACAGCTTAACCGCCTTCGCGGATAAATACCTACAGCTCTCGGTGTCAGTTGTAACGCTGGTGCGCATGCTGATCGTTGGACCCCAGTTCACTGTTCCTTCAAACAAAACGGCTCTGAGGCTGGACGTTCAAATCGGGTCAACCCTCTGCAAGTTGAAACATCGGCGAGTGTCATTAGTTGCATTAAAACTTGGGTTTGGGCTAGTTGGTCCATTACTGAATAAAAGGTTAAAAAGCGCGAACAAACGAGGACAATAAAGAAACACGGACGACAGGACAGGCGCTTCGAAAGCGCTTGTCCTGTCGTTCGTGTTTCTTTATTGTCCTCGTTTGTTCGCGCTTTTTAACCTTTTATTCAGTCATTAGTTGTTACACTCTAAGGAAAGCCCGTGCGTCTACTTCCCCGCACAACACTCGTAGATCCAATCGCCGCAACTTACGGAGGCAGCTCAGCAAACGACGCTGCCGAAACATATGTTTAGGCCAAAAAACGCAGTCTGAGTTCTAACATTAAGCAATGCAAGCGTGACGTTTTTCATTGCTTAATGTCACAATTGAGACTGCGTTTTTTGATCTAAACATGTGTTTTGGTATCGTCATTCTTTCAGCGGCCTCCGTAAGTTGCGGTAATTGGCTCTCCGAGGTGTTGTGCGGGAAAGTAGACGCATGGGCTTTTGTTAGAGTGTACAACGCAACATTTTAACGCCAGGGATATTCCCGCGGCGAGCAATTAGCGAATGCGCCATACTCACTTTTGATGGCAGTGCTTCAAGATGTGCGACCCTCAAATATCATCGCAGGACCCTCACTCGGCACAGAAATCGATACTTTACTTAATGTCCGTTCCTTGCCTCGTGATTGGTCCTCCGGCGTACTCGTCGGTTAAGGCCTCAACCTGATTGGCCGTGGTGCGATAATGAGATGCTCAGTACCTCGCTACGCTCTGCATTTCATAAACTGTAATTGCTATGCATCTTAGGTGAATATTCTGCCGTTTATTGCAGTGTGTGCTTCAGGTATTTGCGCCTCGATGGCTCATATTGACGTCGTCTGCATTCGTTTTCTCGAATCATCCGTCCGCGTTCGGGTCAAATTTATTGTTCTATATTTATCTCGATTTAGTCAGCGAGTTTTATAAGCCTGCATTGTGTAACGGGAACCTCCAGACAGTTCAAACGCATATTGAATTTGCATCAAGTTTCACTCGTTCCTTTTTTTTTCTATTTCTTAAGGCCAGACAAGCGATGTTCGCGCGTTATCCCATGGGAACGAACAATTGTAAGGTTCGAAACGTTCTTAGAGAGAATAAGTTTAATGGAAATGGAACATAACAGTACAACGCGAAACTTCAAAGCCTTACAAATTACACGTGTACTAGGTGTATGTAAGTGTATGATTTGTTGGTTATTCTGTTTGAGAGAAATCAGACATCTGTCACGACGGGCACTCAGCGAGTCGAAAACTAACATTAAAATTTCAATGACTTTTCATTTGCGCAAAGAAATCATCATGCAAGAAATTATTTAAACAATAACGTTTGTCTTTAATGTAAATTCTCCTAGGCGATTTGTGGGTGCCGTTACGTATGATACAAATCTTTGTTTTTCGCCTGACGCGTTTTCATTGTGTTCTTCGCTACCTTCAATACTTGAGGGAAGCTGTCTTCCTTCGAGCGAGGAAGCTTTCTTTAATATTTTACAGCACATTTTTTTAACACAACCTTTACAACGTGCAGAAACTTCATTGCCAGCGTTTACGCTTCACTAATTAGAATTTCGGAACAGCCTAGGAGTTCGAAAGTTCCGTTTTCTTGCGGTTTATTTTGGTCACTCTTTCTTTCTTTTGAGTTTTCTGACTTCTTCGGCAGATTCATTACTTGTAATGTTCAAACCCGCCATGTCTTTGCCAACGTACCGTGGTAAAGATTTAAACGATAACTCCTTGAGCGCAGGCCTTTGTCTCCGATTTCGTTTTTAATTCGTAAACTCTCCCTCATTACGGTTGCGTAAAGGTTAAAGAAGCCACAGAAGTAAATTTAATTTAGTAAATTGTGCCCGACAAAACTCATAAAAAAGAACTGCCCATGTATCGACCTATTGAAAGATAATTCCGGGATGAAAAATAAATTACCGGGTTGATACGAAGCCGTTCAGATCAGGTCTTTGTCATGTACGTCCACTTAATATGATCTGCCACCTTTACCCTAGGAGGAAAATACTCGCATGAAGCTCTAATTGTTAGGATTTTTAGTAAGTTCCGCTAGGTGTGACAAAGTTTCGTGTGATTCTCTTATTACTAAACTCGTGCACCGCTGATTCCAGCACTTTACTTCCGTCTGTTACAATATAAGAAGCCCGATCCACTTTGGGAATAGAAAAAGAAGTAAGGAATTACGTTTACAGTAATGAATAAGAAATTTAGAAAATAATTATACAGTACTTATCGAAGGTATTTACTGCACGACAATCGCGAATAGGCTTTTAACAAAACTAGGTATCGTGTATATAGTTTCTCAAAAATAGCATCGTACAATTTTCGAATGTCTGTGTAATTTGAGACATTACGTGCCTTTGCAATGTGAGAAACAATCCAGTTCAAAATCGTTGCACGGCCCTTTCAAGGTGGAAATAATAGAAACAAACAAGGTACTTATGTGGGCCAGTTGGAACGTATCTACGGTGGAAAAGCGCCAAAAGATACACGGAAAGACAGAAGGACAACAAGACAGGGCGCACTTTCAACTAAAGTTTCTTTGAAAAGTACACCATATATATACCCGACAGGCATATGAATCGTCACTCATCTTTGCCCAGCCCCCATTTCAAAAACTAATATTCATTCATGAAAAGGCCTAAGGAAGTTTCGAAGATGCAATCACTCCCCCTACTTTTAAGCTCAAAAGCCTCGCGTATTTCTCTCGACACTTTTGCTTTTGCATTCGGCTAGGATCTTAGTGTTGTGGAATGACGGCGAGCAAGGATGCTGCAGCGAACCGCAAGATGCCCGAAAGGTGTCGTCCTTGTCGACGCAGCACGCTCTCGCGCGCGGTCATTCACACATCTGCCAGATTGCCCCACATAACGTGACCCTCACGTCAGCGTAATTTCATAAACTACGCGAGTCGTACATTCCACGTACTTATTTCTGTGCTTGGTATCCCACGAATCTGCGATCAGCTGTGCGTTGTTGAGTTTACTGCATAACCGCCCCAACTTTTTAGGTGCACAAAACACTATCGGAACACTGTATACCGCTATGCCAATTTCTTCAGAGTATGCGCGACGGAATGCATGTCAGGAATAACCACCGGCCTCAGATTTCTGTTATCGCGGCGTGGCTTCAGTACCCCTTTAAACTTCTTAATTAAACTGCCCGGCACTTCTGCCCAATAAACTCACTGGAAAACCCGCTCTCTGCAGGCGGTCAACCTGTTTTGCAAAGCTCTCTTGCGCACTATATTGACAAGATTTCTTGAAAGAGGCCTCTAGGCAAGAGTTAGCGATTCCCCTGTTAACAAGCTTTGAATGACAGGAATCATAAAGAAGAATGCCTTTCCTAGATCTCCATGCGTGCATCCAACAGATGTGTTCTAGTAAAAAGCTTAACCTAAGGTCAAGAAACTGAAGGATTCCCTCCGTTGGTGATACATGCGTAAACGTCATGCCAAAGGGCTTTCAGGTATACGTCGGCCGAGCTCTGCGTTAGAAACACGAGCAAATAATGCGTGCTGTTGTTGTCCCTGAGGGCTCAGTTCTCAGCTTATTCGCTAGGGGCGCGACGGTCGGATCTCCTCCCCTATTTCGCTGAGTTCACTCTGTGCCGTATGTGTGAACAGGTCTTAAAGCCGCACTCACGCTGCTCATACATGAAAGAAACGACACGATGACAGAATGATCTAGGGACATGCCCCAAGCATATACGAATCCTGTGGGCTTCATACATGCTTCAAACAAGTATTTGTATGACCAATGTGACAACACTAGATATAGAAAGAAAACTCCCCTGATGCGGACGTTCTCTTGTATGAAGATACCGTCCCCACGTGAGCCGCGCCCTGTTTTCCTCGGGCAGATGTCCCAAGTGCTTCCAGCTCCTTGGCGTGGACCTGACCTTCAACACGTCCTTCTACCCGATGGTGACCGACGTGAACGGCCAGCCCAGCTTCTACCAGAGCCCCAAGCTCGAGGACGAGCCCATCAACGGACTCAAGCACCGCGTGCTTCGGGACACGGCACGACTCCTGTTCGGCGTGCGCTCCGTGGCAGACGAAGTGGCTCAGGCGGTTCAGGAAGCCTTCGAGAACCTCGGCATCATGGTGGGTACTCCTCGGGCTCTTGTCGCCTTCGATGCCCGTTCGCACACACACGCGTTCGTTTATTGACGGTGTTCTTGTGATCTCTTGCGACGAGATGAGCTACACTGGCACGCTGGCGCCATCGCTTCCTGACCTGACCTGCGTATCTATTTTTATCATTTTGTTACGTATCATTATTTCACCGTGGGCTATGACAATGTTATACACAAAAAGATAGTGATTTGATATCGCAAGTACTGTAAAACCTTCAGTCTAGTCTATGCACAGGTTGAACGTTTTCCAGGTTTATCTGACAGACCGCTCCAATGTGCCAGTGGTTAGAAGAAATCACAGCACACTCGGCACAATCAAACGCAAATGTGTAAACCAGCGTTTAGTGACAGAAAATAGAATAATTTAGTATTATTATCCTTGCGTCCACCGTGTTCCTCTTATTCATCGCGTTCTCTCAGCGCGGATTCTCACAATTCTTGTCTATATTTATCACAAATCAAGCAAAACGATGAAAAGTTAACATTTAAATTGTCTTTAGAACTCGGAACATTCGTTTAATTTCAGTCTATTTTGACAGCGGACGGGATGCCATGGCGACAATAATTTTCGGACGGGTCACTTCTTTGCGTTTTTTATTTATTTTCCCCGCTACAAGAACACGAGCACATTTCAATAGTTCAGAACTTCTCATGCATAACGTCGTTGAATTATGCTGCAAATTTAACCAAACCACGAATTAGGGCTACATATGTTGCATATTTTCAATCGTAGCAAAACTTTATTTTTACCAGTTGTCAATTCATTTGTCCAGGTCCTTCAGACTTTGCAGGCAGGCCACTACGCATAATGCTTTAAATGAAGATGTCTATTAATATTATTTGCAATTTCCTTTTAACACCATCCTGTCCTGAATGCGTTAAAAGGCACTTGGGGGCGTTAGTTATAACTTCAGTGGACAACAAGACTGACCAAGCGGCAGTTTTCTGAAGATCTCGGCATACAAAGATCGAGTTGACTTGTCAGACAGGCCAACATTGCATGAAGCGCTTGCCTAAGTAGCCCACTCTAGGTAAAGGGACAGTGTAAGTCACCTTAGATAATATTTAGAGCGCAGCTCTTAGGCGCCTGTTACCGGCTTCAGCGGCGTCGGCGTAACCGTGAGGTCACGTGACCCCCGTGATGTCACGTGAAACGAGTGACGTCACGTGACCCCCATGAGGTCACGTGACCTCACGGTTACGCCGACGCCGCTCGGACGGAGGGATAGCAGGCAGGATGGGGAGGTGAAGAGGAGGGAGGAGGGGTATATCCTACCCTCCTCCTCCTCAAGAGCTGCGCTCTAATTCGGCGTTACAGAGAGTTGTAAACGGCTTTCATTTTATTTTGACAAATAAAGAAAGAACGAAAGAGATCGTATTTGCGGAATTCGCCACTATTTATCTTTTTAATGGGGACCTATACTTAGCCGAATCTTTAAATCTTTGGTTTCAGGGTCTAAGCTGCCAGATATCTCACGACTTGTGCCTTAGCCGTGAAGACCTCGTCTTTCTTCTGGACACCCGTCGCGAGTCCATACAGACGGGTGGATTCCAACAGGTGAGATTATGTCTTCAGCGAAACTCGACAACAGCATCCCAAGAAAATTATTTAGCCATTTTATTTGCGAGTTTGACGAATGTGTCACTCGCGACACTTTTAACTGTTCGAACAACAAATGGTGCGCACAGTAGGTCAATGAGTGCAATGCAAGTGGCTGATAGGATACCGATGATGTTATCCTGGGACCCGTTCGGTTTAACTTGTAAAAAAAAAAAAAAAAAAAAAAAAACAACAACAACAACAACTAGGATTTGAAATAATTTCATGGACAGAAGACTCGGCCTTTGCCTGTTCTATCAGTTTGCAAGTGTCGCTTATACCTTAGTTGCTGAATCACTCAGTTTACAAAAATGCGGTTGTGTACAAAGCCTGTGATCTGCTAGGCTCTACCCATGCTCTATATTGGAGTATGAAAAAAAAACAAAAAAACTTTTAAACCCTAGTCAAACTGCTTATGCGTAATGGAAAAGACTGAGACACTTTCTAAGGCCGGTTTTCTTCTTGTGCAACGGTGCATTCGTTCACTCCGACGCAGTGATCAGGTCGGTGTGTTAATACGCTTCTACTGTACCCCGCAGTGTGCAATTCATAACGCTCGAACTTTAGTTGTCTTCTAACGTTTCAGTTGTCTGCACGTATACGGTCCATAAGTGTACGTGCCCCGAGGAAGCGAGCAAAAGAGGTGCGCTCAAGTACACTAGTGTCAGCACCCCACGGGGTATATCGCGTTAGTTCGTGCGAACGGAACACGATTATTCCGGAGGCGACGACGAACACTTATCCGCACTTGGGTAATCCGAGAAGCGCGGCACGACTTGGCCGGTGGTTTGCCGACAAGAGACAGAAAAGAGAAGATCAATCGATTGCACGTGAGCTGAGTGCGATGAAGGGAGGTAAGCTGCGGAATGATCTATTGCCGTTATGTACAGCCAACCCGAAAAAGGAGAAGAAAAAAACAAGAAGAAAACTGCGCGCGGCTCGTGAAGAATGATGTTCATAACTTCATCAGCGTCAATTGAGTGGCAGTTACCGGCGACTTGAGCTCACGCTTTCATCGCAATAATTGCTGATCGCCTTTACCAACTTTCCCCCGAGATCCTTTGGGGATGCTGTACGATTCTGGCGTTGGTATGTCGTGCGTTAACCCCTCTGTCGAACTTGAGAGTTCACGCTGTCAGTGTTATACGTTTATCATCTTGATGTGCAAAAAAGGGGCTATGACCGCCGCTGTTTTAGGTGCTTGCCATTCTCAACCTTACCAGAGTTTGAATCTCGCTTGGATAGGTTATTGCCTGCGTACGACTGTCATTCTTCAACCGCGGAAGCTTGTTAAACAAGCGAATTCGCGCCGTTCGAATTGTGCTTCTTCCACAGTACGCTATTTGCAAACTATTGAATCGCATATTCACCGAGTCTCCAGCTGACTGCGCATGTCAGTGATAGAATTTTGTCCAATTCACTGGGAAAATAAGTTTTTTTTTTTTTTTTTACTGAACATGTTATAATAAGGCGAAAAATAAACCCGAACGAAGACAAGCTCCGCAGTCTAAGTCGCCCACGACGTTTCCAATATAAGGAGAAATAATGCGCCATTTAGGGCATACCGTTCGCAAACTCGCAACACTGTGTACGAAAATTGCAGCCCACAAAAAGACGGGCTCATTACTGTTTCATGCCAGAACAGATAAACCGCACCTGATATACACGAAATAGATAATGATAACGCTCCAAAAGTATTTTCTCTAACAGAGAAGCTGTAGAAGTTTTACTTGGAATATGACTGAGATACAGTTATACTTTCGACAATAGACACATCTGACTATTTAAAAATAAGGGCATGTGCTTATAAATGATGTATCTCCAGTCAGTTGCAAAAAAAAAAAAAAGACTGGGTTATTTACTAGTAATTTGTGTGCAACATCGGGTGGTGTCCCTGACAGGGCTACCGCGTTTGCTGGCCCATTGCCTAGTTTGCAATAATTGAAAGTATAAAAGTTTTACTTGGACAATTCCCCACAGCGCTTAAATCAAATTTTGAAAGGCTGCGCTGCGCACTCGATTGAGTTACCCACTGTGGAAATGTAAACAATTAGGGATCGATTTATTTGAAACACTTAAGGTAATTTATAAGACAGTACGAATACCTCAAACGTCGCTGGCCTAATAAACTACTTCCATAAATCAGTGCATGCAACACGGCGCGCGTTGCACTCTGGGAACTAGTTGGCCCGGGAGGAGAGTGGCATGGTTTAGCTTTCGATCGACACGTCGACAACAGTTTATACCAACGTTACTAAAACACTCAGTTGGGAAACTCGCCGTCGAAACCTGGGCCGCTGGCCTCCACCGAGACCGAGCTAAATGCGACAACAGCGCCACTCTTTTTCGTTTGTCTGTACTATGGTCTCCTCGAGCTTTTTGAAAGCCTGTTTTTGCGTAAAAACAAACGGAAAAGACTCTTTTTGTATGAAATTTATTGGAGTTTAGTACCAAATGATGGGCGCGTGATGTTTTTATCATCTTTAGTTCGCAGGGTTTTGCGGAACAATTAGTATTGTTTTCATACAACCATGCCTCAGCGGGCCTTTCAGGTAGCGCGTCCCGCCCTAGGTGCATTTTAACTTCAGTAGTTGAACGCGGCGCGTCCGCCGGGGAGAGGGGGCCCTGTAACCTCAAACGGTGTATATGTTCTTAAAGCCGAAATACAAGTCACGTGCAGTTCCTCGAGTGGCCGCTGCGGGAGAGATGGTGGCGTTGTGTTCGTCATTAGCTCGGTGCTCGGAGACAGATTGGGGCCATTTTTTCACAGCTGTCTTCATGGGAGTTTCCCAACTGAGTGTTTTAGTAACGTTGGATTATACACAGAGCGTGGACTATTAACTACAGTTATCTCAGTTTTCTGGTCCCGAGAGCGTCATTTGTGGTCTCTAAACTAACCTAAATGGCCAGACCTCGAAGCTTTAGAACAAGCCTGAGACGTATAGCTTGTCTTAACGCATGCTTGTTGTGTTTTTGTACTTGAGCCTTTCTGTTAACGTTTCGAGGTGTGTGGACAAGCCAGTGCTGGAAATCTCGACGCTGCGAAGCTCGGGAATCTATACAAATCAACAAGCTGTAGCAACCAATAAGTATGCATACGTCCAGCTGACGCCTTTACATTAGTGTTGTTGACCAGGAAGTTTGTTCGTTTTGTGCGCCCGCAGACGAAATATAACTTATTGCAGTTACTGTGTTTCTTAATATGCCTGAGTACGCGAGGTAAAACTCGGAGGCGGCATTGGAAAGCTCCATGTGAACACACTTCTCATCTCTTATCTCTACTGCCCCGCAGCACGGCACGAAGTGAAGTCCTCACCCGGTTGCATTCCGCTAATATTAAACATCGCGTGTGCGCATAAAGTTATCCTGCCAATCATATAGGCACATTCGGACAAACAAACCGTTTTTTAGAATGCAGAAGTCGAGCACTTGTGTGAAGAATGTCGCACCGCTCGCCGGAAGAGCGCCGGACGGGCATCCTATGCGGTGCGCCAAACGAACGAAATTATTCAAAGCGCATGTGACGGTTGCTAATGGCCATAGTCTATCCTTCCATCAGAGCCAATCAGAGCCAATCAGGGCTCGGCGTTCTGACGTCACCACAATCCAATGCAAAAGAATCAGACGAACTTGCGCTCCGTATAGCGTTCCATCAGGCACGATCTACGCTCGTAAACTAACATGTGTCAGCGTCGCTCAGCTTCTGTCCACAGGCGCTAAACTGCTGGGACACCGCCAGGATCGCGACCGGTGACAGCACGACACTTCTATGACGTCATCAAACGGAAATAAACAAACCACTTTTTTTTTCTCTGTGGGGGCGGGAAACACGTAGAGGATTCGTTTTAGGCACCATACTAACGGAGCATTCGAAAGAACACAACGCGACGTAGAACGAAAACGCGACCTACAAAGATTCGAGTTTGCTCACCAGGGGTGCTGCTCAAAACCTGAAAGCGACAAGTCTAAAACTACTTTACTGGTAGAATCGTTAAAACTAAATAAATACAACTTCCCTCACTGATTAATCGACTGTACAAATAAGGATCTATTTACGATTATATCCATAGCACCAAGTCCGGCAAATGATTAAAGTGAGGTCTCCAAATCAAATAACCCCACATCTTTCCCAAGATACATGTCAAATATGTAGTGGGGAAAGCATTCCTCGGTTCATGGTCACGTTTTTGTAACGACGAAAGTTATTTAATCTTACGACATCCTCTTATCTTTACGTGTGTGTGTGTGTTTTTCTTCTACTTCTTGAACTGACTTCGCAGAGTGCGTGGGTTTATTTGAAGAAAAAAAAAAAAAAGTCATTCAAGAAAATAGTAAATACGTTGAGCTAGAAATATCTTCGACAAAATAAATATCAGCCGGAGGGGATGATTTCCAAAGCGACCTCAGGATTGGTTGATTTCTAAGTTGTTTCGCTCGCATCGATTGGCTCCCGGCATCGGGTCTACGGTAATTCCACTTCAAACCACGAAGATTCCGAACCCGCTAAAATAAATAGTCGAGAAAACGTTTCTCTAGAGACGCGAGGGTAATTTCATAACTGCCTCGCTCTTCCCCTACCTGCACATCCATGAAACGTTATTTTTACGGCCCTATCGTGTGGGTACTTATTTCTCTTTTTTCTTTTTTCTTCGTCTCTCTTTTAAATGTTAGGACGACATGGGGGCTTCGGCTCTCAGATTCGTCGTACGTGACCCTGGAGGATAACGAGGTCTCGTTTTGAAGCTATACCGCGTTCATCTCTGTCTCGCAAGTTTAATCGAAAAGTCGTTTTTAGAACTAGTATTTCGCGGCTCTATACGTTTACTCTCGCAGACTCGTTCCTCGGCGCACACTCACGAACAGCGTTACCGCGGAACACCAATATCCGACGCGCCCGGGCTCGTACCTTCACAAACACCGAAGACAACTTGTGAGAGACAGTAGAGTGTATCCGAACA